GGTGGCGGTGGTGGTGGTGGTGATGTGGAATTGGGGGGTGGCTGCTGGTCATTTGCCTCTCCTTGGGTGGGTGTCTATTGAGCATTTCTGCCCAGTCGGTTTCGACCCCTCCATTGCTCTTCTTTCCTGTGAGTTGGTGGGTCTCCAGCAGCCACCTCTCCCCAGGTCTGCCTCCTGGCGGGTGGATCCCTTTACGTCGGTGGTAGGGGTGGTCGTATTGTTCCCGGATGGTTTTCCTGAAGGTGTCGTCTATGCCTGGCGGGACGTATTGGTTGGTTTGCTGGAGGGCTTGTTCATCCCATATTTGGCATCTTTGTTTCTTTGTCTTTGTGTGTAGACGAAGGTGTATTGCTGTGTGCTCCAGTGTGCTTGTTGTTGTGCCTGGGTGTGAGTAGTGTAGTGAGCTGGCTGTGTGTGTGCGAATCTTGTTCTGTGTCTAGGTGGCTGGAGGAGTCCCGTCTTGAGCATGATGGTCGTTGCTTGTCGTGTGATCGGCATCTGCCTGTGTCGGTTCTTCCAGCAGAACGGGTGCATCACTTGCCGATTGCTATGGTGGTGGTTGTTGTGGTGGTGTGGTCGGTTGTGAGTGCGAGGAAACTGGCTGTGTCGGCTGTGACAGTGTTGACGGATGTGATGGTGGGGTTTGCTGGTCTCCCCCTTGTTGTTGTGTGAGTTCCGGGTAGGTCGGTCGAGGGTCAGGCGGTCCCTGTGGTGGCAGGGTCTCGGTGTTCGTTGGTGGTTGTGGATGCGATTGGTGTGTCGGTGTTTGTTGTAGTTGTTCCCCCATTGGCTTCCGCGGTTGTGGTGGGTATAGTATCTGCTGTATCCGCGATGATGGTGTTGTGGGCTGTTGTAGTTGTAATTGTAGTATCCCCTCAGGGTGCAAGGCCAGACCCTCAACCGACCATTGTAGACCCTAAATCGGGGTCTGCATGGGTCCGTGTTGGGGCCGTCACGCAGACATCCCCGCACCATTTCAGACCCTAGCAACCCTGACCATTGCAGACCTTTGCATGCAGGACTGTGGGATAGGTTGCGCTTACCAAGGGTCTGAAGTGGTCCTGGGGCTAGTGTCTGGAATGGTAGCCCTGACCATTCCAGACCTTGCACATGTTGCGGGTAGGGTGCCAGCATTTCATACCCTCGCAAACTGAGGGTATGTTGTAGTTGTAGTTGTAGTTGTAGTAGTAGTAGTAGTAGTAGTAGTAGTAGTAGTAGTAGTAGTAGTAGTAGTAGTAGTAGTAGTAGTAGTCGTCGTCGTAGTAGTCGTAGTAGTAGTAGTAGTAGTAGTAGTAGTAGCAGCAGTAGTAGTAGTAGTAGTAGTAGTAGTAGTAGTAGTAGTAGTAGTAGTAGTAGTAGTAGCAGCAGTAGTAGTAGTAGTAATCGTAGTAGTAGTAGTAGTAGTAGTAGTAGTAGTAGTAGTAGTAGTAGTAGTAGTAGTAGTAGTAGTAGTAGTAGTAGTAGTAGTAGTGATGGCTGGCTTATTGTTGTGGGTCGTTCCATTGCCATTGAGACGTGTGCCAGCTGGGTTGCCATGGTTGCCAGGACTGCCCGGTTCCCTCCCATTGGTGTGTGTTCTGGGCCGGTGGTGTGCCTGTTTGGTCAGTGGTAGTTGGTGTGGCTGTGTGTGGTGGTGGTGTGGCTGGTGTGTGTGGGTGGGCTTCTGTTGGTGGGATGCCCGAGGGTTCTCTCATTCTCTCTCTTTCTCTCTCTCTGTCTCTCTCCTTCTGTCTTTTCTTCGTTCTTTCCTTGTTTATTCCTTGCGGTGCACGTGCCCCGATTTCGGGCGAGCAAAGCGGAGTGTCTGCTCGACTCGTTCCCTTTCTCCTCCTACTCCGCAGACATGCGGGAAAGGTGGCCAAAGGAGCAGCTGACAGCCATGCCTCGGGCTGTAGGATCCGAATAGCCCTGCGTAACTTGAGACAGCGGCTGCAAAAGCTAGAAAATCGCCCGTGATTTTACGCAGCGGCGCTTGTTCCGACAAGCGAAGCAACAAGAACATTACAAGGGCATTTTTTGGGATTGGAGGGGGGCACCGAGGGGGGGCGGGGGCTGTGAGGAGGCGGGGCCGCGGTCGTCATTTCTTGAAACACTCGAGAAACAGATTGATGAGTAAGCGACAACTCCCGAATGCTCCAAGGAGCTAGCTTTCGTGATTGATGTGAAGTCATGTACTCGGGCATTCCCCTCATTATAGTCTTCTGTGTGTACGAAAAAAACATTCCTCGACTGTATCAATCGAGCCTTGGTCTGCAGAGCTGCGTGGCAAAGCGGAAGACGGCCACAATTTATGGCCTTCTTGTGCACCTCTAGCCACAACTCTGGGAGGCAATTCTTCCGAGCGCTCAAACATGTCAAGGCACAAGTTGCATAAGAAACGCTGAAGAAAGAAGCGGATTTAAGCAAACCAGCACAAACAACTGACGCAGAAAGTCCTTCATCACGCTCGCTGCACATCAAGCTGCTTAACTGGCACTGCGTTGATCACGATGTCGCCAAATTACCAGAAAGCACGCCTGTCTACAGGCACCCATCAATGCTGTGCTGGTGCACTCGGTGTAATTACTCATGTCGTGTATCAGGTTGGTTTATGTTGGGCCGTGCTCCCCCATTCACAAAAATGGTTTTCATGCAAGATGGCGACATAACAGTACACCAATTCAACAGCCCTGCCTGCTGCGCTCCTCCGCATGCATGTCGCGGCCTAGGTGACAGAACAAATAGGACAAACAGGACACACTGTGAATCGGGCAAAGAGGACAACTCCAAACTCTGACTGGCTCTGGTTGGATCCTGGCTTTGGTTGCCTGGTTCTGAAGTGATGCCTTGGATGATACAGACCGGTGATGCTCAGTCGTCTGCTTCGACGGAAACTTCAAACTGCCCTAATAACCAGCGAGACTCCGACGCCCATCGATCTGGAGTGCGTGGCTTCAAAAGGGTGAGCGAGAGCGAACGGTACATTTGTAGCGATAGATGCTGAGAATTGTTGAAAGCTTCAAGGATATCACGTGGTTACACCATGTTGCGCCTGCTCATGTAGCGCATTGATAACAGGGGCCAGTCAGTCCATGCATGGCCTAATCCCAAGCTGCCCGATACCGCACATCACTCCACAAAGCAGGAGCTTCAAGCACCCCAAGCCCTTCAGCAAGTATTGACCACGTACAAGCCGTCCGCCTCCGCCTTGTCCCGAAAGCTAGACTCTGAGAAAGCGGGATCACTTCACAAAATCCGGCAGCCGGCAGCATCGGGGCCGAGCCACGCAATGTATCCCAGCAAAGGCTAGGGGCCACAGGAACCCGCACCCGCCCTCGTGTTCCTTTGGGGTGCAATTGAAAGCTTCTGTTTGCGCACACCCTGAACCTTAGGCCTTTGGCGTAAGGCTCAGGATTCGAGCGTGGAATTGAAGTTGCAGCTACTGTTTGCACAAAAGGAAGACTGCCGTAATTTCTTACTTCGTGCAAAGCAAGCTATGTACCACGAAAGAAGGCGCACTGGGTGCACGGCCGAGTGCTTGACCTTAGCGAGGTGAAGGCTCAGAAGCTGCTTCCAAGGCTGTAATCGGGTAATGAAGCAATCACAGTTTGTGCAAACCTTACTGGGCGCAATGTATGCACTGCCCAGATGCGACTGGACTGCCCTGAAACCTCCAATACTCTTTAGTTTCTGACAAGCTCCAGCACCCAACGAGCCGCAGACCCATTCTTCCCAGAAAGTCGCCAGGCCCTGCGAGATGCAGTGAAATCAAGTATGTCAAGAAGCTGTCGACGCAAGGCAGGAAACCGATTCGCGCACTGGAAGGACCGATTCGCACGTCCTACCAAATTCGCACCCTGAAACGCGGATTCGCTTACCGCGGATTCACTCACTGAACGCCGCGGATTCGCGCACCGGTGGATTCGCACACGTAGGATTTGCACACTGAAAGGCGGATTCGCGCACTGATTCCCGCACTGAGACGGCAGATTCGCTCACGGAGGATTCGCTCACGGAGGATTCGCGCACTGAACAACCTCAGCCCTCAAAGCTTTATCAACATCAAGATATGACCTGTCGGTAGTAGGGGATGGGCGTCAAGCCCCTAAACCCGAAGCCACTGCAACCCTATCCTACCCTAAAACCTAAACACGGAACCCTGAAGAGGAAAACCCTAACCGCGAAAAAAGCCAAGAACTCTTACACGTCGATGCATGCGCGCTGCCTCCATTGTCGAGCAATGGCGCACCATGCGCGCCATCGACCTAAGCTTGTGTGCCAGCATTGGGGCACGGCAGGAATCAATCAAGCTGGCAAAAGCATGGCATATTCCACGCAGCATTTCAATGCTGGGCTGCTGACCTCCTCTGTGTGCACAGCCGTGTAGCCCATGGCCGCTTTGTACCTAGACCCATACCGAAACATGGAACCCTGTAAGCATCATAGAGCATCTCGGCACCAGCAGCTCTGCTCTCAAGGCTGTAAACTCAGAGCTGCGCCATGGAACTTCAGCTTGCGACTCGAAGCGGACCTTACCAAAATTGCGTAACTTACTCGCGGCTGCGTGCAGTTTGCATGTCACATCTTGTCGCATCCTGTCGCATGCTACTGGTCCTCCGAGGTTGGGGCAGCTTTTGCAGATCCGCCGACAGATGCCAACCCCTGCTGTCGCTCTGAATCTACATAGAGATGATGAATGCAGACATATACAGATTGCCTGCCCGCCCTGCGAAGCTGAGTAGGCTGCCTGCTCTTTGCACAGCCATCGTGTCACCCGAACTTCAAGCGGTGCTAGCTGTACCACTGCAATGAACAATAAGCTTCTCCGCTTGGGGCGAGCCTGATTCTGAGGAAATCGCCTGTCCTGGCAGGAGTCAACATCGTGTGCGGACAGACCTTGACTAGGACGGATTCGCTTAGACCTCGCCATTACGACTTAACACTCGCAAAGGGCACATCGCCCGAGAGGATGGAGTTCACCTGGCTGGACATCACGATTCCACTGGCAAGCATCTACCTACCACGTAGCGGGTGCGTTCTGACGCCTTTGTTGCCACTACACCACTTGCCAGCACATTTGGCAAACCAGTCAACTGTCAAACAACAGTGGTGTCGGAATTGTCGTGTGCGTTGTTTCAACAAGGCATCTGGTCTGTTGCAGCACATCACTCTCAGCACCGTGATCGTGTTGAACTGCTGGTGCTAAACATCGACGCAACGAAGAGGTACTGAAACTCTTGAGCTGCCGCGATTCAGGAGAATCAGTGTCCAAAAAAGAACAAAATGTTCATGGGCAACGGTATGGTTATCGAGCTGTCCCTTGCGAGCTTGACGAACTCACAATCTTGAGAGGCTGAACGAAATGACAATCGCAAGCGACAAGCAGTGCGAGATGAGAGTGCAGCACAGTCTCTTGGATGTGCCACGGTTTGAAATCCACAAGGCGACGGAAACAGAATTTAGCACGACTGCAGAATATTACAGCGCTTCCTCTGTAGCCCTGACGCATAATCCAGGCAATGTAGATGGGAAACGCTCAATTCAGTCAGTATGAAACCTACAGGGTTGAAAAAGTACAGGCTGAGTGGCGTGCGACTCACTTTAATCACTCTACCTCTCTTCGAGGCGCGATAACCGAGAACACGGGGAATGGAATGCACTAGTGATCAGAAAAAAAGGAACACACAAATAAGTTCACACATTGAACTGAATGGAACTCAATCTGCATTCTGTGCGTTGCACGTTGCTCCCGTCAGCCTGTTACCCTGTCCTTGCTTGCCCTCATTCTTTATTGGTCTGTCGCGAAAGATGCTGGAGCCCTCGTGCCTGCTCCTCTGTAAGCGGAAACTGCACCGGATGCGCAGCCTCTTCCTGCAGCACGCTTGAAGAAAGAAGAATCCGTAGAATCTACGTCTGTTGTGTGCAGACATTTTCAGAATGACCCGGGATCCTTCAGCTCAGCCTCCCAGCTGCTCCGCGTGCCACCGTGCCTTTCGAGAGGCCCCGATGGCACTCCGCTACTTTGTTGGAATTTGGGATCTGCAGAAACTCCGAAGCGCAAGAGTCAGCAACTTCGACAGCTCGCTGCATTCGCCCTTACCAGGCTCTCTCACAGCGTTGAGGTGTGCACGAGTAGTTCAGCAACACGGTCAGGTTAGACAGAAAGTGCGTGACCTGAGGCTACTATGCCTCTCCCTCAGGGGAAGCAGGGGGAGCGGGGGGCGGATGCCTTAGGATGAAACCAATCAAATGCTGTAGGAGGAGGGGACTCTCTTCTTCTGGTAGAATGAGCAATCGTGGAAGTGCTGCTTGAGGTTCGCTTGTTCGAATCTTGGGTTCTTGAGTCATAAACACGGTAAGTCCCTTTAGTTTGTTTCGCTCATTCACTCCGCGCACTCGTCATCGAAAAACCTTAATATCTACATCATCTCCAAGACCCCGCTTGTATGAAGTGCCATCTCACTGTCATTCCAAGGTCAAGAAGAGAAGAAGAAATTATAAGGAACAAGACATGTAACTATTAATAGGATATTTGGACATGAAGGTTTACGTGCGTGTCTGAAATTCTGAACGTAACGCAAGAACCCCATGCCACGCGTCACTTTCTTGTAATGGGTCATGTCGACACATTTCGACATCCACTTAAAACTCCGAGGGCCAGAATTATTCTCCCTGGGGATGTTCTCGTCCCTTTTTTGCCTTTTTGGGATCCTGTTGGCCCCATGAGGTGAAGATGATAGGCTCAGGCTACATCCCGTGCTCCATGCCAATGCTGCAACAAGCTACAGAACGGTACTTCGTGGACGAGGTTCACAAACATCTCTCAATTTTGGACTCAGGCTAACAAAACCCCGGTGATGCATTGGCCAATGCTGGCCACCTGTCTCGGGTCACCGTGGCCAACAATGCAGGCTAGGTCCCCATCGTTGGCGGTCGCACGGTCGCACTGTTACTGCACCCTGCCAGATTCCGTCGGCCGACCTGCACTAGGTGCAAGCCAAGCCGCCCAGCTGTTCAGCGGAAAGTCTGCCTGCTCCAGTGCTCGACAAACTCACAGAAAAGGCTGGCACTGCTGTTTGGTGTACCAAGCCGTTTGGTGTACCAAGCCGTGAATCAACTGAGCTGAAGAATGCAAGGCAGTGGCACCCCTCAACTCATGTCTTTGTGCCAATGATTGCCAATGACATCCTCTAATCAAGTGCACAGGGCACATGCCTAACAGTTGCCATTGCTGCGAAAGGAGAGCCACCTCATGGACTCCGTCGAAGGGATAATTCAGACTGCTCAGCAGCTCAAACAAGCCCAATATGATCCTGAGTTGCTAAGCATTGAAGTTTGTTGCCACTCTGACATAGCAATGTCCCAGAATCTGATATGTCTGCACAGGTTGAACTGGATAACACTCAGGCCAAGATTCAGCAGCGAGGCTGCATAAGCAGGCGGTGCCTGCGGCGTGAAAGACACCGTGCCGCATCTGGAAACTAATGATCATTGCATGCATCTTTGGCAATTTTGACTGAGGCACGAGCGACCCATGATTCACAAATGCCCATGCACAGCCCAAGGTAGGCTGCGGTAAGGGTCACCAGGGTACCTCAGCAATTGTACGCCAGGCGGCCGTGGCAGTGTGGCGAGAGCGTGGTCCAGTTCGTTCAAGTGTGGAATACCATGGGTCGGCGGCTTCAGCTCAGCTCAGCTCAGCTCAGTTCTCCAACCCAAATTCAATTCTTTTAGGGTTCAGGGCTTCTCCCTACCCGCGTATCAAGGGGGGCTTCCCTTTGTCTGTGTGGTTATAACCTGGGCTAGGATGCTGATATCGCAGTTGGGGTATGGTCTTCTTCGGCCCCGCTCCGCAATCATAATATTGGGCGTTCAGAATCCTAGTTCTATGGATAGACATCGCTCAAAGGGGATTCCAGGGTTTGGTCAGAAATGCCTCAAAAGATTCTGTTGCGGACGATGATACATGTGTTTGAACTTTTTGTCAGGTTTTGGACTCTTTTCGTTGCTTTTTGGGAAGCTCCATAATGTAGCAAGAGGTGTGCTTCCTTGATATTTGAAATGGACACCTGTATTTCCTCAGCATTTCATAGGAAACCTATGCTAGCTAACCCCACACCCGAAATATCTTTCCTCTATGAACTCATACAGAAACCTCTGTTGCCTCCATATCTTAAAGGAACATCCACTCCTCGGAATGTCCACAAGAACCTACAAGACTTCCTTTTATTGCATAGAATTCTCTTATTCCTCTATGCTTTCATGGGGGGTCTTTGTTTTGAAGCGATATCCTGTCTTTCCTCTACGGCCGAAAACAAATTTTGGAAATTCGTGCGCCAAGCCTGAGGCCGTAGTTTTCCAGCGCGCTTGTGCCGTGCTAGTGCTTGGCCACGCCGGCAAACATGTCAACTACATGACTTGGTATTGACGAGCTCCCTTGCAAACCTTGCTCTACACATCCCTGGCTTGGATGGCTGTCAATCCCTTGCTTGGCCCTGGCGGAGCTGTCCATTTTTCTTCCTGTTTCCTGGACAAACCTCTGCCTGCCCACCTCCCAAGACCTCTGCTAAGGCCCATGGCTTCACATCGGACCCACAAACCTAAACCCCTGCTTGGGGGCGGACGTGGGGGAGCGAAGTAACCGGGAACACAAATCCTGGGTTTCGTGGTGAAATGGTCTGTGCGTGGAGCGTCTTTTGCAGAGATGGTGTGGTGCGGTGTGGTGGTCTGGTGTGTAGTTGACGCGGTGCGAGCAAGGCAAGCGATGGTGCGGTGTAGTAGTGTCACGCAGATGCAGAGGAAGAACCTGGCATTGGCCACCCGTATGAAGCAAACCGAGACAAAGGGAGACGAGGAGCCCAGGAACGGCAAAGGCCACCCGCGTGAAGGGAGACAAAGAAAAGGCAAGGAAACGAGGAGTTCAGGAACTCGACAATGGCCGAGGAAACAGGAATCCGGCCATGGCCACCCACATCCGAAGACAACAGGAAACAAAGGGAGACAAACCACAGGAGACAAAGGAGACAAAGGGATACAAAGAGTGCAGGAACCTGGCAATGGCCACCCACAAGAAGAAAAGGAAAGGGAGACAAAGGGAGATAAGGGTTTAGGATCAGAGCCACAAACCTGCAAACCAGGAGCCTTGCAATTTCCACCCACTGGGAGACAAAGGGCGGCCACATGATGAGAGACAAGCCGCCCAGAACCACCCACATGAAGAGACAAAGAAGAGGGGCCGCACCTCACGATGCGAGACAAAGGGAAACAAAGGGAGACAAGGAGCCCAGGAACCGGCCATTCCTGATAAGCAAAGAACCCCTACAGTACAACTGTTTGGGGAAGCCACCAAGGTTGGGGTCCAAGTCACCAAGGTTCGGGACCCAGAGTCCCTCCGAATGATAGACCAGAAACTGGCCTTCTGGCTGATTACTGCGACTTCGGTTGAACCCTAAACCCGAAACCCTAAACCCTAAACCCGAAACCCTGACGCCCAGCGGCTGCCGGTAGGGCTTCAAGACCCAAGAAAACAATCCGAAAGAGCGCACGCTCAAGGAGTCAGCGCACGCCTGCAACCTCCGGCTAAGGTCATGTTAGTTTTTTAAGAATGCAAAGCGGGGGGGCGGGACCCTGGGCGGGGACTTTCTTGATGTATTCTAAGCGTGGGAATCAGATTGGGTTGGGTTTCAACAAAACGAAACCATTCGAGAACAGAATGAACAAACATTGTGCAATGAAATGAAATGTACACACTTGTTCATCAAGATGTTACTTACCAACTTTGCGTCGATCATTTTTGCAATGTGCACAACTCCAGTACAACGGGCATAGCTTTAAACTATGTACATGGGATACAAAATACATTTGAAGATGAGTTTTTGTTCGAATTGATTTGTTTGCTTTGTATATAGTTTTCCGCATGTCCGCATGATTCACAAGTGGCTTGTACTTTTGTGTGCGTTGACACCTTCATGTTTTTGTTGTGTCGAGTTTTTTTGGACTGGTCACATAGAGTCCACACGTCTTTTATTGAATGGAAGAGCAGGAGGTTAGTAGGTGGGTGTGGGAGCCCTCCCCCGCCTGTATTTTGCAAGCACAAGGCCATACTGAATCTCTCATTCTGTTCTGTTCTTTGCTGCCTTTCTCCTGCATTTATGTTCTGTTCTTTCTTCATTCCGTTGTTTCCCTTTGACCTTTATTTCTTCGCTTCTGTCCTCTTTTTTGTCTGCCGTTCGTCCTGTCTTTCTGCGATTCTTTCTTTCCAGCTTTCCCATGTAGTACGTACAGGAGAACATGCACCCCCCAACACGCATGGACGTGCAGATTTGAAAGGCATCAGCCATCCTCACGGGCCCTCTGTTCGGAGCCGCGCTCCACCCATCCAAGAAAGCGGGCCCCCAGCTCCGAAAGCCAAAGCTCAGAACTAAATAAGACAAATATGTGCGATGGAATTTGTGAGGGTTTCCATTTCTGCAATCTGGGAGTCGAGCCGCAAGGGGGGCCCTTACTGGGAGGAGAACCTTGCAGGAGGGCGCCCCTTACAGGGAGGAGGCGGGAAGGCCCTCACGGAGAGCCGGAGACGCCCTTGCGGGCTCGTAGGAAAGCACAGTACGACGATCGAATCTGGAAATGAAGCTCGAACAGGTTGGGACATTAGAGGCTTTACCTGGCTGCCTTCCTGGTCTCCAAGTCTGAGGACATCTGAGGCTCCCACTTAACAAGTGGAAATACTCAAAGGGCAGCATGGCGTTCGCGGCATCGAGCAACTGTCCAAGTCACATTGATGAGATGGGTGTTCTCTTGGTCTCGCTCGAAATTTTCAATTCTGCTGCGCAAAGAAAAGCACAGCTCGCATGCTCGCATGATCTTAAATGATGCTAGGACCAAGTGCTGGCGGGCCAGTGCCAGTGCCATGGAAGCCTGGAGCTGGTAGGACTTGCAGTCCACCAGGCGCTGCAAGACTTCTCTTTGCGTCGCAGGTGCCTGCAGGGCAGGAATGTGATGTGCGAAGTATTATGTCAAGGAGACTGCGAAGTGTCAAGACATGTGCTGTAAATGTCCTATACATCTGTAAGTTAAGGATTGCTCGGCTTGTCTCGCTTTGTCCTGGCTCGATGATACCAGCAAATCCACACGAGACCGCACAAAAAGGAAGGCCGAGCAGCAACATCTGCTCTCCGCAAACCGTGCAATGCACAGTCGCAGGCCGTGTGCATCATGACCAGCGTCCTCTCGAGACACCCAGAAGACCGAGTGTGACAAAAGTGTTGAAATTTGAAAACACATGTTGTAGTTTAGACTAACATTACATCAAATTCATTACATCACACATCACTGCATTGCTCAGACTCATGGTCCACAAAACTCTACAAGCAGGGCAGGCTCTTCACATCTGTCCGCAAATGTCCAAACTCCTTCATAGTCATTGACGTTTCGGGAATTCAACTTGTGCATTGTTGTAGATCTGCAGGCCCTCTGCCGGCCTCTGCCTGGCTGAAAGACTCTGTGGGTCCAGGAAGTCTGCTTCGCCAGGCCTGTGTCACTGGACGGACACGGCAACGGAGATGCAAAGATCAAGAGGACATTCAGCAGGCGACAGAACCACAGACGTGAAGCAATGCGAAGGATCCGCGCAGTCCTTCTGCTTCAAGCTTGCATAGAACTGAATGCTAAGCTCGGTTCGCAGCCCGTTGCTGGCACAGCATCCCTTATCATCCCCTTCACCGTGAAGATCCGTGAAGGGTAGATGGCACCCCTAGAAGCCGTGGCCTGATAAACTCGAGATCCACCAACTTCCTGGCAGCTCATGCATTTCAGCTGACCAAAGCACACATGAGACGCACAATCTTCTGTGTCAAAATGACTCGGACAGCTGCACATGTCAAGCTGCGCCTGCCCTCCCCACAAACATCACGAGCATCACGAGCAGGTTGAGGAGAGCTTGTGGACCCAGACCGCACAAACAAGCCGTCGGGCGTCGGAGGGGACAGACAAGCAGGGTAATGAAAGCACAGCAGAAGATGAACGGAACCCAACAGATGCCAGACAAACCCAACTATGCAACGGGGCACGGCACACGATCTGAAAACTGAAGTGGAACTGCGCTGGGAAACCAAAAGGGGGACAAGAAGCTGGGTGTGAAGGTAATACACGACGTCCTCTGGGCATGGCACAAGTATATTCTCGACGCAGAGTCAGACATCCAATGCTTCAGTGCTTGAGAAAATAGGCTGACTACGGCTGAGGCGCGAATCAGAAAACTTGAATCGGAAACGCAGAGCGGCGAATCGGAAAACACCCCGCACTGAATCGGAAACCGCCAGGCACGAATCGGAAACTGCGAGGCGCTGAATCGCAAAACCGGGCGGCTGATTCAGAAAAGGAAAGCTCGACGCGGGCACGTCCTGCCGCAGTAGCTACGCCATGTCGAAAACCTGTAGAAAACCAATAATTCTATTGGTGTCTATTGTTTTTTTGTTTTCTATTGGTTGTTTTTTGGTTTTTATTGGTTTTCCATTGGTTTTCTATTGGTTTTTTTTGGTTGTCTGTTGGTTTACTACTGGTTTTCTATTGGTTTTCTATTGGTTTTAATTGGCTTTCTATTGGTGTTAATTGGTTTTCTATTGGTTGTTATTGGTTTTCTACTGGATTTTATTGGTTTTCTATTGGTTTTTATTGTTTTTATTGCTTTTCTAGGTTTTCTATTGGTTTCATTTTGGTTTTTATTGGTTTTCTATTGGTTTTCATTGGCTTTCTATTGGTTTTTTATGGTTTTTTATTTGTTTTCTATTGGTTGTTATTTAGTTCTCTATTGGTTTTTATTCTATTGGTCTTTATTGGTTTTCATTGGTTTTCTATTGGTTTTTTTTTGGTTTTCTATTGGTTGTTATTTGGTTTTCTATTGGTTTTTATTCTATTGGTCTTTATTGGTTTTCTATTGGTTTTCTTGGTTTTTTTGGTTTTTATTGCTTTTCTAGGTTTTCTATTGGTTTTCATTGGTTTTCATTTTTGTTGTTGGTTTTCTATTGGTTGTTATTTGGTTTTCTATTGTTTCTTATTGTCTTTTTGGTTTTCTTTTGGTTTATTTTGGTTTTCTATTATTGGTCTTTATTGGTTTTCTATTGGTTTGCTATTGGTTTTCTATGGGTTTTTATTGGTTTTCTATTGGTTTTCTATTGGTTTTTCATTGGTTTTAAAACATGGAAAGCTCCAAATCAGCACCGCGGAAGCGGTAACGGACCCTCCCTTGAAGTCTAGTCTGCGCCGCAGAAGCCACGCCGTGTCGAAAAAAGAGGAAATTAGAATGTTTGGTCATTAGATCGCGCAAGAAAGATCAAATCAGAAAACACAGAAAGCTCCAAATCAGCACCGCGGAAGCTCGAAACGGACCCTCCCTTAAAGCCCATTCTGAGCCGCGCAGCCACGCCGTGTCTACAAGAGAAAACTAGAAAGTTTGGTCATTAGGTCGCGCCGGAAAAACTAAATCAGAAAACACGGAAGGCTCCAAATCAGCACCGCGGAAGCTCGAAACGGACCCTCCCTTGAAGCCTATTCTGCGCCGCAGGAAGCCACCCCCTCACCTTAAAACCCTAAGCCCTAAACCCGAAAAAACCCACAAGCCTAAAAAACCCTATAAGCCCTAAAAAAACCCGAAACCCAAAACCCTGAAACCTCTAAACCCTAAACCCTAACAAAACCCTAAACCCTGAACCCTGAAAACCCCTAAACCCTAAAGACCTCTAAACCTATACCCTAAACCCTAAATGAACTTAAACCCTAAACCATAAAATATCCCTGACCCCTAAACCCTGAACCCTAGACCCTGAAAACCCCTAAACCGTAAACCCTACAAACCCCAAAGCCCTAAACCCTAAGAACCATTTACATAAGAATATAAACTGATAAGGCATATCTCTGGCTTTCCGGATAGGGTCTATCCTGAGGGTAGTAGGGGCCTATGGAAAATGGATAGGGGTCTATGCGGCACAGGGGGGTAGTATAGGGATACGGTCATGCATAGGGGTCTATGGAAAAATGGAAGACCCCTACGTATAGGGGTCTTCCGGAAAGTCGGCAGGGCCGAAAGGGGTCTGGCGCATAGGCACCTATCTAAAAACCCATGGGGTCTAATAGGGGTCTATCGACGCCTCCCCCTCCCCGCCCCGCCCCCCCCCCTCCCCCCCCCCCTTCCCCCCCCCCCCCCCCCAACCCCCCCCCAGGTACTCCCCTGTGGTTCATGGTGGGTTTTGCGTTCCCCCCTCACTGTGGTTCATGGTCTGTGGTTCATGGGTTTGTGGGTTAGGGGTTTAGGGTTAGGCCGAAGAGTTCAGGATTTTCACTCTGGTCCATTGTTCACTGTGGGTTTAGAGTTTAATTAGGGTTCAAGGTGTTTACAGCTTCCCCTCTCCCCCTTGTGGTTCGTGCTGAGTTTACGGTTCAGGGGTCAGGGTTGAAGCGGCTGAGGTTTCGGGTTTACCCTTCTCCCTCCTGTCGTTCATTGGTGGATTTAGGTTTTAGGGCTTAGGGTTCAGGGTTTGGGGTTTAGATTGAAGTTTCTCCGTCCCCCCCCCCCCCCGGATCTACGACTGTCAACATAGTTTTCGAAGGCGCCTAGCACGCGTCATGTTGGAGCCTCGCGCTTTCATATTCAGCCCTGCCCTGCGTCAAGTTGCCCCGGCGTCCATTTGGCTCCAGGTGGTTTGTCGATTGCAGCCTGGGTTCTCCGGATTCACGTTGGGTTGATTGAAGCCCCGTTTCCGATTCACGCTCCACTCGGCTGACTACGGGGCACGCAACGTACGCAACATCCGGGGCTAATGTCAACGTTTTGCACGCAGCTCCATCCACAAACCAAACAAACCTGGCGGCTTCACAGAAGATCCTTCTGATGAACTGTGCCATCGGCGTAACTCCTCCTTACAATTGCAGCTTGGCTCTAGGTGCAGCAATACGCAGCATGAAGCTTGAACAGCGACGACCGTTAACCTGTGTGCTGCATCTCCTGTGGTGGCAACCTCTTATTTCTTATGCAACTTTGCAGTGCAAGGCTCCTGATCTCGCACAACACCAAGATCAAAGAGCCCTTGGGCGGGTGAACAGTGAGGGGTTTTGTTAAAGCACCCAAAGGTGTTTTGCATTGCATGCCAACCAAAGTACCAACTCCACTAAGATCATCAACCAACAACGCCCAGCAAAAGCTGCAGAGCGAATGTCTCTCAAACAACGCTAGTAACATATGTTAGCACACACATGGTTTAGGAGCTGTAACACTGTGCCCGCACAATGCTGCACAGACGTCGCAGCGCACAGGCAAGATGAAGATGGCAGTAGATCCTCGAACTGGACGCGAGCACAGGGGCCAGTAGCCAATGCCCGGAGCGAATGCACCATCACAACTTGAGCTGCGAGGACAAGCCTGCTGGGCAACACTGCGCCAACGGGTTGTGGAAGCAGCCCAACTGGCTGCCTTAAGAAAACTAATTCTGCTGAAGTCACTTTAGTTATCTAGTTGGTCTGTTGCTTTTCAGCAGGTCAGCAGGTCGCCACCAGCACTACTCTTGCCATTTATCCGATGTCGGCCATTTCTTAAGTTGCTTCCCTCAGCCACTCTGCATCGGCGTCAGGTATGCAATGGCGGATCATGAGGTCTCAGACATCGCAAAACAACAATAACAAGGAATAGTTGCAAACAAAGGGCCACAGCCCATCGGCAGCCCAGGCGATCATAACTGAGACAACATGGTTGTCAGAAACGGTCGTTGCAATACGCTGCCGAAGATGCTGACAAAAAACTAAAGGAGGCAACGCGAAACATCAAGCAGCCACAAGCCTAGCCTTGACAAGTGTACACTCCAGCTCAGTTCGGTGGCATTAGAACTATTCTCAGCTGGGTCTCGGTTCGTTCTCCTTGCGCAAGAACAGCCGGGCCTCTCTGTCTGAGCAATCTATGTAGCTGCTGTCAACAATAGCTGCATAAACCTCGAAAGTCTGCAAACACACGCGTGAGATGTTGTAGTCCACCGTTGTTGTCGAAGTGGCTGCCAAATTATCACTTGGAGACACGGGCGACAAGGCAACGAGCAGGCTACGCCATGAGCCACCCAGGGCATGACGAACTCTCAGGAATGGTGCGGAATTCGTCACATGGGGCCGATGCATCTGGCTCTGCAGTGACTTTGGCTTGTGGCATTCGGGGCAGGTGGGAAGGTGGCAGGCCTCGAAGGCGAAATCGTAGACACTGTCCATCATCTTCCTGCCCATAAGCACTCAAGAACCACAAGCCCGATATGTGAGATGCCATGGAGCGTCTCTTTTCAGACGCACATGCATTCATACAAGAACTCTGCTTGCTCATCCCCTTGCGACCAGCCTGACCAAGTGGCCCAATTGCAGGTATCGGGAGTATGCCCTGATCAGGCACTTATGCTTCTCACAGGATGGGCCTGGGGGAGCACCAAGGAATCTACAACAGCCGCGTATCGTTGATTCACATTCCTTCGTCGCGAAATAACCTTCTTCGCTGAACAATTCATTTCGCGAAGCCTTCGCCAACCCATCGCCGCACATGCCTCTGATTTCTGATCGAGCCCTTGAGCTCAAATGTCAAACTTAGTGCATTCCAGGCTTACGCAGAACTTACGAAGAAGTTTCGAGTGGGAACTTTGCGAGCTTCCCTTGAGTCTAATTCTCTCCCAACTGTGAGCTCAAATGCAGCCGCAAGCCGAGAAGCTGCTGGCAATTCTGCGCATTGTGCTACGTAAAATGTACTTTTGCAGTAGGGAGAGGTCCTTCCTTCAATGCATTTACAAGGACCATTAGATGTTTCTTCAGTCCCTGGAGTGCCCAACCCTACAGAGAATCCCTGCAGTGAAGTCCTGGAGTGTCCAAACCACAGAGAACCCGGCACAAAATCCCAGAGAATCCCTGAGTGCCCAACCCCAGACTCTGGAGTGCCACAGTATCCGCGATCCGCGAGCGTCCAACCCACAGAGAATCCCACACAAAATAACCCCAAAAGAATCCCTGGAGTGCCCAGCCCCAGAGGGTCCCGACGAGCGCTTAACCCCACAGTAGTTCCAGAGAGTCTCTGGGGCGCCTAACCCGAGATCTGAGTAATTAATACTAGACCAAGATGTATGGCGACACACAACACGCAACACAAATCGCGAGACGGACTTTTGTAAAATACCATCGTGGCGAGCTTCTACCGTTCCGAACGGTGAGAACACAAAATGGAAGAGCAACGGCACGGTGTTTCTGGATCAAGATGATGACGGGCGTGCTCCTGCAACATAAAGTTGCATGAAAAAAAGTCTCGAAAATGGACGCTAAACGACCACTTATGGATATTTAAAAAGCATGCCTCTGATCCTATACAGAAAACCATCTGAAATTAATATTTTAAGAAAAAGAAAATGCTGTCCTGGTTTCTACATGACAGGATTGGCTACTGGCGTAGTGCTCTGTGGCTGTCGAGATCTGTCGAGCACGCCGGCTCTCCCGTCCTTTCTGGGCAGCTGCGCTTCTAGCTGCCGTCACTGACTAACCCGAGAGTGTCCCCAGAGAAACGCTGGCGTGCCCAACCCCGGAGGTAGTGCTGATATAGATAAACTTGACATCTATGACAACTTAGATGAAAATCAGAAAATACTTTTCACACACTTGTTTAAACTGCATAATCATTCCGTTCAACAAGAAGCGAAAAAGCAAAAACGTTGTACTATCAATCTATGTAACGAATGGATTGAGCATTTCCCCAAAGAATCCCTTCAGTGCCCAATCCCAGAGTATTTCCAGAGTGACCAACCTCAGAGTATCTTCTAGAAAATTCCTAGAGTTGCCCGGCCGCAGAGGAGAGAATCCCTTGTGTGCCCAGCCCCAGAGTAGGACGCGCCACAAATTCCATATCTGTCGCTGGCACGTAGATCCATCTGAGCAGAGCACTGGTTCACTGCGAAGCACAGGGCGCAGGACCTGACGCAGGGCTTCCGTCTCCTTTCTTTAAAATTTAAAGAATGGCTGAAGCGACGAGATGGCTTAAAGCGGTGCAGAAGGCGTGCGACTCTCAGAACCTGACATGAGGATGAACATCAACTCCACGTCGGACCACTCGAGCTCCTGAAGACTCAGCCTGGCACATCTGAGACATTCTGAGACCAACTGCAGAACAGAGAAGGTATATTGGGCATGCCATGAAAGTGCCATGAATTTGCGGCCTCCACTCACCCAAGTAGCCAGTGTTGTTAGCTGCATATGCCTGCGCCGAGGCTTGGCAATCATTTGGGACAAGGGCTGCTGCTCGTCTCACTCCTGGTACTAGTAGTGCAGCTTGGCAAGCCAGCAGCTGAGCTTGCAGCACACAAGTGCAGGAGCAGGAGAAACCAAAAATCTTTCCGCATCAGGACCTGGCTGCAACTTCAAGCTTGTCATGCACCTTTGACCTGATGGGTACCCATGCTTAGAGGCAGCATTAGTATTGACACATCACACTCACTACACAAGATCTTAACACGATGGCGCAGTATCAGTCTAAGCCTTTGGGCCGACGGAGTGCGCAAGCCGAAGCCTTAGCAAGACATGCTGCGTTGCACGCACCCTATAATCATCTATCATATAAACAAAATGGGGGACCGAAAAAATTCTGTTTGCCTATTTATCTTGCTGTTGTACAGTGAAGCATTTCCACGTGGTCAACATCTCCAAATACTCTAAATTGGGTTGGCCTTGTTGTAAGTTGCCCAGATTGGTGACACACAACCTGTTCGAGCACTCAATTGCAATGTTCATCCTCTGCGGCCAAGGATGCCAAGTCAAAAGTGTCAAACGCCAAGCAAAGCAAGGCAAAGCAAGGCAAGGCAAAGCAAAGCAAGCAAAGCAATCCAACAAAAGCAAGGCCGATAGAGCAAAGCAAAGCAAGAAGGACAGAAGAACAAAGCAAAAGAACAAAGCAAAAGAACAAAGCCAAACAGCAAAGCAAAAAAGCAAAGCACAGCAATGCAAAATCAATGCAATGCCATGCAATGCAGTGACAAAAAACAACGCAAAAACAAGCAAAGCAAATGAACAAAGGAAAAAGGCAAAGCAAAAACTGCAAAGCAAAGCAATGCAAAGCAAATCAAGGCCAAGCAAAGCAATGCAAAGCCAAGCAATGCACCGCAAAGCCATTCAAGGCAAACGTATAGTATACGGCAGGCCAGCAAGAGTAAGAGTGAATACAAAGGAGTCAAATCACAACAAGATGCAAGCCAAGAGCAAATACAATAAAAGCTTCAAACCAGTGAGTCTAAATAGGCAAACAATGAGCGAAAGACAACAACAAAAACGAAAGAGGAAGAACCAACACGAACGATGGAAGGGTGCAGAAGGAGGTTCGAAGGAAGAATCACGGGCACACCGCGAATGTCATCGTGGCGGAGCAACGATGCTGGGCAGCTGGCATCGTCAGCAAATACGACCCTTCAGGGTTGTAGAAGCGGCCTTACTTTTGAAGCTCATGGTTCTGGTCAATGGGGGCAATGAGTTAGTCCCACCAAGATTGATCGTGAGGAGAGCTGCTTGATGGTGCAGCGAGTGCAGCAAACACATCCAAACACCAAACCGTCAAGCTGAGTCGTCAGCTTGACGTAAGGGGCGGTATCGGAAGTCCATCTGCTGCATAAAGAGGGTAACCCCCAGCACCTGCTGTCAGAACAAGCACTGCAGCAGTCTTTGTGCAGTTAGCGCGGGACTACAGGCAACCTTCGTGGACTCATGCTAAGACATCTGGGGCCAAAGCCATAAATGCCGCGAGCGAGCAGGCTCATGGACGAAGCACTTTTTCTGTGCCACTTGACTTAACCATGAGAAAAGCTAACAAGTGCGAGTATCTGGCATAGTGAGAACAAGTACAGCAAATTCCACGCCATGAACACGTGGCACACCAACAAAACTGTTTGTATACAACTTCTTGAGTTGATAGCTCGTAACTAGTACTATGTGGCTGCTGCACCTTATCGGAACCTGAAGCACCTTAGAGACCTGCTTACAGGCGGGAGATGGCGGAGCACGAGCTGAGCTTCAGCTTCATGGCTCGTTTCTGCCTGAAGAACTATTCGGTTTGCACCAGTTTGCACCACCTGCCTCTGCTTTGAGCCAGATAGCAGTTGGCTCCACGGTTACACCGGTTACCGCGAGCCAAGCGCCTACCCTGCACAGTCCAAACTTGAAACACAGTCTGAAGTTTCTGAAGATGCTTGCCTGAATAACCCTGAAAACCCTTCACTATGCCTACTTCATCACATTCTGTTTCTTGCCATCAGCCTGTATGACTCAGATGATGATTTGCACACAAAAAGCAGCAGAAAACAACCACAAGAGAGCTTGGCGTGGCCGCATTGCTTGTGCGTGTCCAAAGTCCAAGCTTGTTTTCAACCACTTGTTGCCACGATGCGGGCTCAAAGCTGACTGCGCAAGCATGCCCGTGGAATGCGTAAGCAGAGTCTCAGACCCAGGCTGAGTGTTTCGAAATGTTCTGAAACGACCGCAGACATGATGTTCCCTTCTACATGGTCACGGACATGCCTGCTGCATCCCAGACTACTAACTCTAAAGGTGCCGCGGTGAGCTACTCGCTGTAGGTATTTCGGCAACACTCGTCAGTCAGACGGCTTTTCTTGACGTGTGTATGGAGAGACAAGGTTGCAGGGCTGGTTGCTTGACTTGTAAATAAATGTAAATAACTTGTCGACGGTGAGGCTGTACGGAACTAACTAAACAAAACTGTGTAACACAAAGCCTTAACATGCCTAAATGGAGTCCAAACGCCCTCTCATCGATTTACGTGGAACCTTGGTGCCAATTCTGTGTCACATTGTTCGCTGTAGCATCTGTGCGGGCAGCGTGACGAAGATCTGTTTCAGAGCCTGTATAGGTATGTTGAAATGGATCCTAATTCCGGGAACTACCCATATCACCACTCATGAGTAAAAGGTTTGATGGATGTTGACGTGACAACTCCAGCTGCATCTAAGGCTGAGAGTCGGATAGAATGGCCAACGAATGCAAGGCCATGGACTCAAACCATAAAGAACTCCATAAAGAATACTAGGCTTGCATAGGCTTGCTAAATCTGTCAACACATGTCCGGACAAGTCCACATAGAGAGCTGCGGAATCGGGTTTTTCTGACTAGGGTCAGGTTTAGGGCGAGGCTAGTGCACAGCACGGCGCCTGCAGCGACTTCAGGAGCCATGCTCCACAGGAAAAGTAGCGAGCTGTGCAAAGATTAGCCAAACAGCGGCACCGCTGGCAAGTCAAGTCGGGGCCTCTTCGTGTGGTTGCGACGACATTTGGCGCTTAAAATTTCAATGAGCAGCTGCCAGTATTTGGCAGTTATTGCTCGTCATTACGCACCAATAACCTGCCTTCGCCCTCGAAAGTAAAGTCTGATCCAAAGGTTCCACGCTTGAGCACGCTGCAGGTGTCACGGGCTGGGAGGCAGGAAAGGCAGGGAAAGCCCCCACTGGCCCTCTCGGAACTGGCTACTTTCACGAGGAGTCAGGAGACCCCTTTGCCTTCCACTTGCGACTCCCGCCGGACCTCGTAGCAACGTGGGCCGTGGGACTGTGACAAATTGACAAACAACGTTTGATGCTCGCGCGGGCCTCGTTCACAAAGATCTGCATGCAGTGAGCGAACACTTGAGCCTGCCACTGGCGGGTACGCAGGTTCCATGACATTGTTGAAATTGTGTGGATTCTTCGACTTCATTTGCCAGCACCACCAGCCTGAAAGGTCTCTCGAGAATAGCTTAACACTGTGCAAGCACCCCGCACCGTTTCCAGGTTCCGTGCTCCGCGGGCCTCCGCAACTTGTGCCTCAGCACCACCCCGCTCCACAGGAAAACGGAGCGAAAGACACCTGGGACCATCGGGTAAGCATCAAAGGGCTCTCTGCTACAAGCCACGCAGCCCTCTCTTGATATCATTTTTCTGGCTTGCTCTGCTTTCTGCTGAGGTAATTCTGTAGCGCTCCTCATTTGTTCTTCCCAGCAATTCTCGGCCAACATCGCAAATCTTAAGTCACGATGGAAGTGGTTCTGGCTTCCACCTTCTGAACACGATCCCACAAAGGCTCATCAGGGGCACGCTGGGGCACGCGGAACGCAGAGCATTGTGGCATGTGCTCTGGGTCGAGCAAATAAGGCGCAGTTCTTGAGACGAGCTGGGCATCAGCACCAGCCCTTACAGTACAGCGATGGGTTGGTGAAGACCAACCAAACTTTGCCCTCCATTGGCAACCCTGGGATGATCTCAACAACATGTTCAAAGGCCTGAAGTGCCCTGAAGCTTCGTGATCCACATCCATGCTTCCATCTAGGGGCGTTCCAACTTCACACGTTAGTCTCTAGATTGGATGCTACCTGTCCATACCTGTCCCGTGTCTCTCCTCCTCCTGCTTCGTGCGAGATTTGAGCCTACAATGCCCCGTCCATATGTCGAGACTTTGCCCTGAACAAAACTTCTCCTCTTTAGTCGCCCTCGCCACTAGCCAGTGCCAGCACCCCAGCCCCGACAACACCTGCCGTCTGCGAGATGGACAACGGCACAGGAGGCATCTAAACCTGCAGCTGCACGTCAAACACTTACAAAGCCGATGCTGTAGCCTGACAAATCTCCCCAAGCATCTACAGATGGTAGTTATCGATGTAGCATAATCGGAAGCTGGTTGCAGGCCATTGTAAGGAAGCACCAGGCCTGGCATAGTCGTCAGCTCTTTGGCTCTTTCGCTGCTTCCGGTGTACACGGCAGAGACCTGCCGAAAGGGAAGAAACTAAAGTGTCAGAGAAGCCAAACAAGCAGCTGCGAGTTTGATGCTGAATGATGTTGCGAGCTACAGGGGCAGCAGTGCTCTGCGAAAATCTAGCTGACGCATAAAACGAGTATCCAACTCGTGCACACAGAGTATCGCAGCATGCAGACGAGCGTCCCACTCTTAAGAGCGATCGTGCATTTCAGATGTTCAGCACGCCATGCACATTTTCCATCCTTTTCAAGCAAAAGAAGGAAAGTGCAAGTGCAAGTTGCCCACGAAGTGGACTGTGTCGCACCTTGGACATGCGTGTAGACTAGTGTAGACATGCATGTAGAAAAGACTGCCAACTGCGAAGCCGCGAAGCCCTATTCCAAACGACATGGAGAGCATGGAAGCAGTTTCGCAGTGAATGTCTCCGAGATTAGTCTGCGGACTGCCCACTACAGACTTGTCCACATGCCTAAGAAACAAGATGCAAGCAACGTAGCACAGGGTAGCTTTCGAGTTGAGCTCGCTTGCAAGACTCGAAGATATCGTCTGTCACAATGTGAACACTTGGCAGGCCAGTCACGCTAGCGGGCATGAAGAACCGATCAAGCAGCAAGCGGCAGCAGCTGCTGCTGCTTTTACACTGGAATTTCCAGCCTGGGCAGAAGAAAGGGCACCAAGAGCGTTGGAGATCTGTCAGGACACGGCTCTGTTGGTGCTCATGAGCAATGGCAATAGTCTGTTTGCATCGGGGGCATTTCCCGGGCTCTTTTAGAGTTGCTGAGAAAGATACCCAAAGAAGTAGGTGCGGCCTGCCTGGTCATCCCGACCTTACCCCAAAGACCGTCGCCGCACTGTTCCTCGAACTCCGGCGTTGGCCTCGATATGGAGATGGTGCAACTCACTGCATCAACCATGGCTTAAGGTATCTCTGAGCGGTTGTACCCTAATTTGCCATTCATGATCGTCGTATGTGTATCTGGTTTGAAGTGAGTGCTGACGGCGTGATGAGCTGGCATCAAGGTTTCCTGGCAGAACAACAATGGATGTCTAGCTGCGTTAAACAGAGACTCATTCGCAACTTCGACGCGCTATAAGCAAGCAACTTCTGTGCGGCGGTTGGCTTACTGTGGGCTATCAAGATGACCGTAGGCTGCACGAAGGACTCAGGACATCTCAGGACTGTAGGGCCGGGGTCCGAGGCCAACAAGTTGACATGATGAATCCCTTCCAAAATCTTCCAAAGAAGTCGCAAGAAGACCCGAACTGAGGCAAGTCCACTGAGCGTGAAGTTTTGCAAAACGCTGCAAAAAGTGTACCATGTAGCACACCTTGACTAATTTCAGTCCGGGCATCTCGAAATCTTCATTCATCAGACGTCCATTTGGATCACATTTCTCTGCAATCGCCGACTTGTAGTTCCTTGGTTAGAGCACATGAACAGGATGCCTTTCGGAGCATCTTCAATCATATTCAATTAGCAAAACATTGACTTGATTACACTTGCGGTATCTGCCGGTCACCTCGATTCTGTACACGATGAATGCTTCCTTCTTAACTGCCTTCGAGGCCACCACACTTGCTGATATACGGTAATTTAACTGCAAATGCAGCCAGCACACGCTTCGATCTCGCTGATGGAGTTCTTGATCTGCAGCATGGGATATCATGGGATGCTCGTTTGTACATGAATTAGCTTACAAGCACCTCACATGTGCCGACAGCAGCTGAAGCAGCAGCTGGATGTGCGTTTCGAGTGTAGAACTTCTGAACCCTTCGGGCATGAAGATGCTGCATCCGCCTCCTGGAACTTGTCGGGTGAGAACTTCTGCAATTCCAGGAATGCGGTCGCCTAGGCGAATGAACCCTGGTGACCCTGGGCCCGGTGCCCCCCCGTCGTGCCCCTGATATTCACCTCAGACTTTACCAGCGCAGCATCCTGCCGCCGCATGCCTCATGGCATGCAAGAATCCATGTCTTACCACGTTTCTTACCTTCAAGCAAGGCGGCCATGTTGTTGTACTTCTCATACGCCGTCTTCAGCATAGGGTTGGTCTCAATTCCTGGAACGGACAAGGGTGCCGCAGAGCCCCATGTTGCCGCCGAAGAAACCTTCTCAACTGGAAGCCCACCACCCCTCTCAACCTCCGTAACCCACAGAGCCCTTTGCAGCTCGTCTGTGTATCCCTACTTGGCCCAAACCCGTCCTCCAGTATGCTCGCTATACACGACATTGTCGACAGAACCGTAGAAGTCCTCAGTGCAACAACAGTATAACAATCCTTGCAACAATCATTGCAGAACAAACTGATTAAAAAAAATCATGTCAAGGATGCAACTGCATGTAGCAATCCGTCATCTTGGTAGCCCCGCATCGACGGCCTGTCGTACAGCGTTCATCAACTCCACGGTCCTGACGGCAAAAACTGGTTCTACGAGTGCTCTTCTCGAGCTGGACAACTTCAGTCACGATAAGTCGCAAGGGTTCAGGCTCAACATGGCTCCGCTCCTCCTGCCAGCATCGTGTTCATTCTTGGCATCCCGGGCAGCGTTGGCAGCCTTTGGCAGGCGCAGTGTTTGCGCACGTCAAACTGACTTCTTCCCCTGCCTTTGTGCCGAGCCGGCTCGCTTTGGTGCTTGGCACATTCCGCTTGCACTGGTTGAAAATTTCTGAACATTACTGGCCACCATTGGCCAGCCGAACAAAAACATCAAACATGTCTCACCTCTACATTCATTAAAAGCAAGGACTTGGTAGGAATCTGGCAACCAGGCTGCATTCTCGCAAGGCTAAACCTGAACCTTGCTAAGCCCTAGAAATGCCCAAAGCTCCGCTCAAGCAGCAACAGTGGTGACATGAAAGTCAAGAGCATCCCCAGTATATGCTGGTAAGTACAGTAAGTAGTAAGATGTGGTAAGTACTTTGCACAGGTTGGAGAACGACACCTCCTTTGCATCGGCCGCAGCTTTGGTTGCCTTTGAAACAGCCGTGTCGAAGCTGGCCTTGTCAAGTCAAGCTACATTCACACGATGTGTTTCAATGTGTTTCACTGTTTCACCATGCAACATGAGACCGACACATTTGCACAGCTGCTCTACAAAAGCACACTGATCTCATTCAAGCAGCTTGAAGACTTCGCAAGTCCTTCAAAAAATCGAACATCAGTGGTGTGCCGCTAGGGCACGAGTGAGCAAAGAGAGAGAGGGAGGGACAAAGAGAGAGAGAGGGATGTCTCCCTGCCATGTCATTGGAGACAGACGCGTCAGGACATCTGTGCAGTGGACTGCCAAGCAAGTAGATTGGCCAACAACTTCAGTACAGGGTCCACTGGCCCCATTGCAAGCTCAGATGCCTCCGATTGCGCCTGTCTATCCCCATCCCCAGTCCGTGCCCAGGCATCTCCGTCTTTTGCCAGCTCCGAATCAATCGCTTTTTGCGGGCATTTGCACAGCAAATCATCATACAACCAATCCCCCGGTTCAGATTCTGGGGGCACTCGAGCAATCTTAAGAACCTTCTATGAACCTTCGATTAGCCTCAGAAGGCAGTGGTGAAAGCATGTGAGCACTAAGAGAACTAGCTCAGTCGGTGTTCTGGATCGAAATATCACGTGCCGAAGTGTTTACATGAAAGCTTGCGCATGTTTGCACTGTATTCCGCGCAAGTGTCCATCTCTGCGGTGCGAGCATTTAACTTCGGAAGGTGTGGGCTTGTTGCAACATTTCCGGGCGACCTACGGGTGATGCGCCTGTGCTAGGAGGCACGTGTAATCCGCCGAGGCCAGCCCCAACGCCCGCCCCCCCCCCCCCCCCTTTTGTTTGAGGAACCTTGAACCCAGAACCCAAAAACCAAAAACCCCAAACCGTGAACCTTGAGCCCTAAGCCCTCAACCCTAAACCCCTAAACTAACCCTCAACCCTAAACCCCAAACCATAAACCAAAAACCCGGAACCCTAAACCCTAAACCCAACCCGTATTGCTTGGGGTCCAGCGACTTGGGCGCTGCGGAATCACCATGCTCACGCGGATGCGCTGGGCCGTGCCGAGGCAGGTCGCGTAGCGTTAAAATTACGTGTATACGGCCATACGGCAACGCGAATCAACAATCTGCAGCCAGCTGCGGAGTAATCCCAACTGGCGCTCCTGCTGCGCCTTCTGGGCCACCTGTTCGGCATCGGTCGCCGCCTTCGCTGAACGAGCCTGAAAGGAAAGCGCTCTCCGAAAGCGCAGAAGAAGCTTCAAGCTTCCAGCAATTAAAGGTTAGGCGACGGGCCATAGAGTGCTACGTAGCGAAACACATCGACCTTTCATCCATCTTTCAGGAGAATCACAGGATGCCAATTGCTCAAGACCCGTTAGCACCCACCAGCAACCCTATGTCATGCCCAATTTATGGCATCACCTGATGTTGGTCAGCAATGTGTCTCCGGATTGACTGCAAGGATTTGCTGAAAGGATCACAAGAACTTGAAAGATCCAGCAATCGCTTAAACACTTTGACGGGCCTTTAACTTGTTGGCGGACATCACCACGGTCTTCTTCTCCTCAGAATAACGCAAGAATGAGAAAAAACAAACTGCCAGTGTAGCAATGATGCATATCCTTGCGTGGGCTGCAAAGATGGCAGCCCTGCCTACTTGTACTGTGCCCAAGTGCACTTCTTTTCATCTGACCCTGCTTCCAGAATCGTCTGCGAACAACCTTCAAAACTTATCATGGATGCGTAGGAATGAACTGACTTCAGTTGCACCGAGCTTCCATCATCTCCTGTTCAGCTGCGTCTCGCTCTTTGACCTGATCAGGGGATGGCAGTCAAATCTATAGGCGTATTTGGGCCCTCTGTTTGGCTGTTCCAGGTAACTTACGGCCAACTATCGGGATGTGCACGCCCAGCACAAGTCCAGGCGCCCGCCTTGGCATCGAGCCCATCCTTCAATTCCTCAGCTCCAGCTTTGGCAGCACATCGTCAAACTGTGAGTCCGTCTGTGCTGGTGACATTTGTGACGCACTC